GGGCGAAGCAGCCGGGACGCGAGCCCGGCGGGGCCGTACCTGGGAGCTGCTCCTGATGGCTTTTCCACAGATGTCCAGCTTTGTCAAAAACCAGTAAATCTTGTGAAGTTTATTTTCCTTATAGCATCTGTGTTTTATAATGGTGCTTTTAATTTGTTTTTTCTTTGTCTGCTGGGATTTCTTTTGTCCGGCCCTTTCAGGCCTCCCTTTTTTTCTTGGTGGAAGTGAGTCCGTTAATGATGGCTGACTTGGGAATACCCCCCGGCCAGGCCGGCACGGCAGCCGCTCCCTCTGTCTGACAACAAAGCCCATTGTTGTTTTCTTTCTTCACTTTTATCCTCAACTTAATCCATTTTTCCTTTGAGTATTCGTGGAATAAAATCTCTGGAGAAGTGTGGCTCAGATTTTGGGTGGACGTGATGGAGGTGGTGGTGCAGGCTTTCAGCAAACAGGTGTGAAGGCAGAACTAACTGATGATATTTTCCGCGTCTCAGTAGGCAACGTTTATCCAATATAAAGCTGCACTTGTAAATAAACTTTCTGCTGCCAGACTACCAGAGCCACGACATTCTCGGCTTTTAGCAAGTCCCTTAGTAAAATTAATGAGAGATTTACCAGCGGCCTGAATTGAGACACAGGACTTTTTTTTTATTTTATTTTTCTCCCATGGAGGTCTAAAAAGCTGAATTAGGATTAACTGTAGGAGTTTTTTTTTTACTTAGGGTTAGCTATGATCAGGGATTTGGCCCCTGAGTCTGTAATATTTGAGGGAAAATAATGCAAGCGCTTCCTTTCGCATGTGTCCCGAGCTGCGGCCCAAGCTGGAGAGGGACTGCGGCCAAATGGGAGGAGGTACACAAGGAAAATAAACCTCCGCCTAAACTGGCTTTAATGTATTCCTTGCACAGCTCTTGAACTGTCATCTGAAAAGCTCTTTCGTGGCAGCCCGTGGAGAGACAACTACTCAAGCGAAAGGCCTCGCCTTCACAGGGTCCCGAGCGCTGATAAGCTCACGCTCTGGGTGATTGCCAAGGGAAGTGCCTCGTTGCTCGGGGTGCTCTGCTGAAAATGGTCTCACTGGTTCTTGAGGGGGCACGTTTGTCATGAATTTGTGATGATGATGATTAATTTTCTCCAAATTAATTGCGATGGAAAGTATTCCTTGAATAGTCAATAGGATGTAATTTGTGTGTAGCTGTCAGAATACAACCTGGTTAGCATTTAAAGTTAAATTGTCAGTGCTAAGTGAAGCTTACTCTACTGAAGCTACACAATTAATAAAAAACTGAATTCTAGGGGTTTATTCTTTATTATATACATATTTCCGTACAAGAATGAATATATACTGTCCACATGTGACGAGGTAACTTGAGTACAGGATTCTGCTGTATGAAAAACGTTCACTATTTCTAGCGGACTTAAACTTTGGCTTATTTGTTGCGTGTCCTTTGACAGTGAATCATCAACTGCTTGAGCTGTAGAAATAATGTTGATGCTTGACTGCATTCTTTGTGCTCTTTTGGCCTGATATGGCAGTCCTGTGCACACACAACTCCTGTTTGCTGCGGGAGGAGTTTCCTACTTCGAAGGGCTGGAGGAATGGAGGGTGACTTTATCAGGTTTCTGGGTGGGTACAATAGCACACCATAAAATTAGGAGTTTTTAAAATGACTTACTGAACGTAACGTGTGACACTGTTTTGTTCCAGTGAAATTCAGAATGCACAAAGCAGCTTTTGCTGAATGCTTAGGGAAGGAACAGCTCTAGTCATGGAGTGCGTTTCCTGGATCCCTAGGGCTATGCGGTTAGGACCTATCAGAGGATAGGTCTGAGGCAACGTGCAATGAGTATATAACAGTATAGAACATTTCCATCATAAAAATAGCTAAAAATAATTCAGTGAAAATGAAGGCAAATTTTTTTACTTTTTTTACGAAGCATTATTTTCTTTAACCTTACTCATCCGTACCTTCTTAATATTATTGTAGTCAGATTTTCAAGAAAAACTGTACTGTCAGAAAGAATTTGTCTCCTTTTGTAGCATTCCAACTTTTAATTGTTGACTCGTATCACTTTTAATTACATTTATTTGTAGTTAAGCAACTAAATGTTGTTGCAGAAAATACAGGTTGGCAGGCAGTAGTTATTGGGATATATGTTAGGTATTTACAGCTCTTCCATTTGTCATAGCTGAAATTTGTAATCATGTTTGTGCTGCGAAGCGCTGTGCGTTATGAGCTCTGTTTTAGTTAAATTTTTTATTGACCTTTGTGTACATCAGACTAAGCTATACATTTAAAAATGAAATGCTTGACGTCTGAATGTGGTTTTTTTTCCCCAAAGAATCATCATTTTAGATTTTGGTCCCACTCAGCATCTCTTTTACACATTTTCAGTTCTGTCTGTATAGTTTAAGAAATTTTTTTTTACTTTGTGTTTTCTTATGTGTGAGCCTAAAAATTTGTAGGCCGTTACTGCTACAATTAATAAAAAAACCCCAAAGTGATGACCTAATCCTGCAGTTTTCTGAGTATCCTTGACTGCCTTGAGATTCCTCAACTTGTGTGAAAATAAAGCAGCTCATCCTTGTGTAGGAAGGACATCTGTAAATGCCTCCTTTCTCTGCAAGCAAAGGTTCTATTGAATCAGCTGAAGGTTTTGCATATGGAAAACTACATGATGTTGGGAGCAGAGGGCACTGAGTAATTAAATGTGCCTTGAGAGAGAGAGAGGGGACTGTTACAACACACTCATTTGGTTCAGTAGTTCATAGTTAATCATTATATTCCTAACAAGTAAAAGAAAACAAATTACAGGCATTTGGAGCCCCCCCGTACATAGTGTCGCTGTTTGCTGTGTAGCGTGCAGTTGCTCATGGTGAATATAGGAGAGTGAAACACTTTCAAGACAGGCCTTGATTACATGCAACAGTAATTAATTAGACAGTAATGCAGAAAACTATTCATACTCCGTTCTACAAGAACCAAGAATGCATTATGAAACGAATCTTAAAAAAATTGATTGCATCTCAGTATTAATTTAAAACCGAGCTGGGTTTTTTTCCTTTCCTGTTTCTTTTTATTCCAAGTTGGTGCAGGAAAATTGCTATTACTGAAATCTGCTCTCTGAGACTTCAATAGGCTTGTTATTCATTAAAGCCTTGCTATTTCTCTTAAAACGTATTGACCAATGTTCAGACCAGATACTTAACACAAAATACACTTCGTAATTTCATCATTTTTGTTATTGTACTTTTCTAAGATGCGAAGGTCTATGGACTTTGTAGAAAAAAACAAATAAAACCTCTAAGCTTACAGTTATATAGTATTAAAAGAAGGGTAAAGGAAGCATTGAGTGTGTTTAGGATGATGAGACATTCATTAAGATTTTTCCGCCTTCCTTTTCCTATTTTCAATCCATCTGAAGGACCATTAAAGCTTTTCAGGCAGCTTCCTGTGAGAAACCCTTTTCTGTGCTGTTTTTCTTCCTTGAAAAAAGGTGGCTGCTCTTCAGTCAGATTGTATGGATTTGGCCTGGGATTTGTATAATATCTATGTAGAATGCATCGGTTGTTTAGGAACCTAATTCCCAATATGGCTCCCTTTTGATTACGAACAAAGCCAGCATTTCACAGCATTATAGGAACACAGAAAAACAAGTTAATGATCTAAACCTTTTAATTCATGGTTGCTTGTCTATTTAAAGTACTTTTGATTCTGTTATAAACAGACTGGCTCCTTTTTTGTTTAACTTCTTTCTTTGGTTTCTTCACATTTCTTTCTTTACTGTCCATGAAATTTGTAGCTAGTTTCCTTTTCTAACTGAAGAATGAAAGGTTGTGACTACAGAATGATACAGAAAGTAAGAAAGCGTATCTAAACTGGGCGTATATCCAGCAGAGACCTCTTTGAAACCAGCTAAATTTAGGATAGTTTTTGTAGGATTTTTTTTGTTACGTTTTCCCCTTCCTCTTTTGAGTACCTATGTTTTGTTTTCTTCTTGTTGTTCGCATAAATATAAAGTTCGTTACTTTTTTGATACTTCCTTGATTTTTACATGTAGTTTGGCATGGCTTTATTTTATATAGTTAGTTGATATTTTCCTCCAGTCTTAGTTCAGCAGATTACTATTATGTGTGCCTTTATCCGTAGAGACAACAAAAGCAACCTTTTCAGGACTTTCAATTACCAACACTGTATGTGGTACTTTAGGAAAATAATTCCCTTCCAGATTTTTTTTTTTTTTTAATCGAGAATTGGGATCCAGAGCTTGTTCTTCAATTTGAACTTGAAAACTTTTTGTTGAACAAAACTGTCAGGCAAGCAGCAGCAGCAACAGCACGAATAATTTCCGTTCCATGGAAGGGGAACTTATCCCCACATATAAAAAATAAATACTTGTTTCCATTGTCATTTATTTTTTACCTGAAATGAAGATGACTTTTTTTTGTTTACAATAGGATCTCGTTATTACTTTTTTCTCCTTCTTTCTTTTTTTTTTCTCTTCCCTTTTTTTGGCAATGGCTTATTTCAGGCAGTTATTAGAAATGATAAATGAAAAACAATTCCACTAATGTGTTTTATTACATCTCTATCCCATCAAGGTAAATTGAACAGCCAAGACACTTACAATAACTTCACAAACAATAATCCTGGGAACCCTCGACTGCTGCCTCTTCCAAGTTTGACTGTGGTGTTGCCTCTTGCTCAAATCAAGCAGCCAATGACATTAGGGACCATCACCAAACGCACAGGGTAAGTGTATCTGCACAAACCTTTCTTAGCAGTGTTATTTATAAATAATATGGAAAAAATGTGTGTTACTAGTGACACTTAGTTTTATTCCTTCTTTTAATTGCAGTGTGTGTAATTTAATGGCAACAGAAGGGGGTTGGGGGGAAGAAGGGACAAAGAAAAGAAAACCAGCATCAGATAACTAAACAAAACCTGAAATCAGGTGTCTAAAAATTCAGGAGTGTTCATTTGGGTGGGTCATTTTCTTGCAGTCTGCCATATGGGAAATACTGTACGCTGACATCAGGAGAAGTTTCACACCAGGAACTGGTATGAAACATAAGCAGGGCTGTATTCAATCAGAATAAGTTATGGGTTTACTTTTTTTTTTTTTAAAGTTTGTTTGTTTTGATTTCCAAACTTTTCAAGCAGAAATGATTTTTTACTATCAGAAATGGAAAGACAGTAAGCCAGGTTGAGTATAAAGAGAAAACTTAATCCTGCTGGTTTTTTGACCTTATTTTTCCTCTGAAGTGACTGTTCTGTACGATGAAATTCACGTGTGGACTTTCATTCCAGAGCCAGCTGCACTTTGGTACTTCTCACTGTGCCATGATTAAGCACTTCAAAATATTTGTTGTGAAAAGCTCTACTAAATATATGTATGTTATAATTACTAAGAAGATTTTGTGAGCTTTATAAATTCTAACGATTTTTAAGTTAATCGGTACAGTTCAACAGTTGATACTTTTCCTAAATTTCAAATCTTCAGGTTTGCAATTAGTGCATAAAGCTAGTGGGTGATTTCTTTATTATATTTTTCCCTCCTCTCACTTTTTGGTTGTTCAAATACGTGAATATTTTCTAGTTAAAAGTCTGATTTATTAATTTACAGATTGCTTTTATATTAAAAAAAAAAAGTCACATATGCTTGGACGAAACAACTGAGAGTCCTACAGGTTCCTAATGTTTTCCTGTGTTTTGGCAAATGGGTGCAGGCACTGTCTTGCTCGCTTGAGTGGTTTCTTGCTCAAACCCCGATAGTGAGGTGAATTTTACCTTGTGTTTTGTGAACCGGGAATTATTTTTCAGGCGAGAGCACGCGGATATTTCCTCGCTCCCTGCATAATTCCCATATTCTGTGCTCGAGTGTTCAGGACATCTTGTAAAATCTGTTATTTTTTGTTTAGCGCACTAAGTATGCATGGTAAGGTTCTAAAGCTTACATACGTATGCACATATATACATGTGTGTATCGATACATGTCTATCTAACAATCCAGTCCTGCTTTCGCTGCTGTAAACAGGAATTTCATAAGGCTTGTTGAGCCAAATCATGAACTACGAACACGCAATTGCCCTAAGCACAGAAGATGTCTGCAGATAAGTTCCTGAACTTCACAGATAATTGTAAATGGGACTTACGAAACAGTAAAGAAACAGTGTAAGGGTAATGTGGTTTAACTTCTTCCACACATACGTTTCAGTTACTTCAGAGTGTTTGTATTCATAGTTTTCTTTAAGTATATTTTACTATTCGCACACTGTCCTTGTCCTATTATTTTGTGTAATTTTTAAAACTAATTGAATTTAAAATATTCTGTGAGGCTTCTGTAAGGGTGGAAAACAACAGTCATGGGAAATACCCTGCTGTGTAAATAGAGTTTTCATGAATGAGCATCATAATTTTCAGCGAAGCCCGTGTAGATGTGTAATGCTAAGCTGAGAGCTTCCTTCATTTGTTCTGCATCCAAAATATTTGATGAAAGTACACAAAATTAACATGAAAAGCTGTATTTATAAAGCAGGGATTTAAGAGGAATGCCTAGGATCCAAGAAGCCTGGCATGCCTAAAATGACCAAATTGAGACAGCAGCCTTAACTTAAACCTCCAGGGGGCAAAGCGTGTGTTTAACATATTTAACATCTGCCCTCATATTTCTAGAAACACATAGCAATGTAAGTCTGTGCAGTGTAATATTTAGACAGGACAGGGACCATCTGCCTCGCTCGGAGAAGTGTAGGAGGCATGTATTACTGCAAATGGCAAAAGACAGATGTATTTACACCTACATGGTCAGCACCTTTAAGCACTGCTCCGAGGAAACAAGGCTCTTCTTCGGGAGCAGCTGCTTCACCTTGTGATTGTGCAGTGATCAGAAAAGGAGACGAATTCTCGATCAGTTGGCTTTTACAGTCACTGTTCAGTGGCCCTCAAAGCAGATTCCTTTTCTGTTGTTGCTACTTTTAAAGTATTAAAAATTTAATCTGTTGCAGTACGTTTCTAAAAGTAAAAAAGCAAGACTAAAAGAATACCATATAACTAGCAGTTCTGGACTTGTCCAGTTTATTTGCTTTTAACAGCTGAAAAGCTGCTTTAATACTAGACAATTAAATTTTGCAGGTTTTATTAACCAAAAAGTCAAGTGGGTTTTTTTTCCTGCAGGACAGCAAAATATTTTTCAGGTACTGAAAGGACTGATCAGTGCTCTTAATATCATCTGTCTCAGCAGAGCTGCAAAACATGTCATTTTACTTGACAAGTGGAATGGCAGTAAATTTTTTAAAAGTGTTCACAGTAGCCCTAGGGGAATGAAAGACCAGAATCTGGAGTTGTGTCATTACTGCACTGTTCATCACAGATGCTTTTTTTTTTTTTCATGCAAACGTGTAGATTTTGGAGCACTTTCTGATCAGTCGTTAAACTTTTATTCTGAATACAGTTTACATTCTCAGCACTAAGTATCTCGGAGCATTACCTCCCTTCTTGCCATCACCATCGTTTCCTTGTTTCCTGCTCTCTCTTTCTTCCCTAGCTTTTTCAAGTCTCTCGCTGTAATTTCCGCACCTTCGTGAAGCACTTCATTTTTGTCCCTATATTTTGTCATCCCATTGGCTCGCTTTCCTGTCGTTTGTACTGTCAGCACATTCTGAGGAGCAGATAGGCTTTCCCAAAGGGGCTCTAACATTAATGAGTAAGGAAGCATCTTATGTTTTAAAGATTAAGGGGATGCAAGACAGTATAAGAGCTAGATTTAATAAGTCTTTGTATATCTGTGCCTCAGTTTCCCTCTCAGCATTTTAATAGTAATACTGAATTCCTTCTCAGGTCTGGTCAATGGGTTAATTCATTGCTCATTTACAAAGAGCTTATAGATTTGAAAGGGGAAGAACTGTATGATCCATTTCATGCTTGCCTATTAAAGGCAGTGAATCAGAACATGTTAGAAGACAGCTTTGTGCTTTGCGATAGCTTTCTAAGCGTGCCTTGTGTTTGTGGAACGAGTTGTAGTTAGTTTCCAGTTTGTAAGAATGTGGGGACACAGACGAGGTGTAATAAGAAGGAGGGAAATAAAAGATGCAATAATTGCCCCAAAAGAAAAACTATTGTAAACGTTGGCTTCTCTGACAGCAGCATTTGTTTTAACTTTCTCAAGGGATATGGTCATTATGTTTGCATCATACTTCATTCTCAAATTCATTATAGCTTTAGTGAAACAGCGGCATGTAACCTGCATTAGTCGAGTCTTGTCAAAATGGAGACATCCAATGTACCTTGTACAAAAAGGAATCAACCTTAGATTTTTTTCTGCCCAAAAGATTTAGATAGTGTGTTTTTAAACATGAAACTCTATCCATTCTTCATCCCATCTGTCATTCTGCCCCCAATAAGGAGGGAAAAAGTAGGTAAAGTGTCTGATGTTAAAGCAGGCTGCGATTTTATTTTAGTCTTTCTCTTTGCCTATATTGTATGTACTGAAAAGAACTGATATCCATGTGTTTTATTTAATCCCAGGCCTAATTTATCTTAATTTATCCCAGGTTCTAATATTGAAACAAACAAAAATAAGGAGTGCAGAGTCGTGGTGTCATGATACAATTAAGTAGGAAAAAGGAACTAATTATTTTCTTGACATTTTTAAACAGTAAAGCTAAAGAATTCAGTACAATAGACAACCAGTCATTCTCTTTCTGGCACATGTCTCAGACATGTTTTGGTTCACCTTTAGCTTTTATAATACATTTTGGTAATAAAGCAACTACTGTCATGATTTGTGATTTATATGAAATACAGTTATTTACTAAATTTTGTTCAGATGTCACTGTTCATGAAAGGATTCTCGCTATGGCAACATGTAGCGATGAGGGTTAGAATAGGTGGATATTACACAGCTTATTAAAAGTTTAAATAGTTTTTATTAAACATGGTAACACAAAATCGAAGAATGGTTCAGATTTCGATTTGCTAAAACTCAGAATTAGATAAGAAATTAAGAAAATTCTGTTGGAATTTTGAATCATGAATCATCTTCATTTACTAATTTTCCTTTGAAATTTCCCACTAGCTAAGAGAACAGGGAACCTCAGTGAGTTTTTTGCCTTGGCATTGCTCTGCTACTGTCACCGAGTGTAGCCATCTGCTGCTGTCTTTTCAAGGTTGGGTTATCCTGTAATTTGTACATTCTCTCAATTAGCATACCATCCATATTATGTGAAGGAAATAGTGAAAAACAATTGCTTATATAAATATCATAGGGGAAAAAATGGTCATCTTAAAAGAAATTAGGTCTTGTGAAGATAAAGGAAATGCTAAGTTGTCTCTCCCACACTTAAGGCTTTTTATTAAGACTCTACTGTAGTCTTTTGAAGTGTAATTATATTTTCTTCATGCTATAAGATTTTGTATCCATATTAAAAATAAACAAAAAACCAAAACCTTCCATTGAAGCATGTATCCACCTAGGTCAATTTGTAACTAAAATAGAATTTGTTAATTTGCAAGTATAATCAGGTCAACATAGTATGTTGTGCAAAAAAAAAAAAAGCACCTATGTTATATTCTAAAATGTTCTAATGAGGTCAGCTAAATGTCATTTACCTGCTTCTTGCAGACAGAGAAACTGAGGCAGAGAGGGAGATACTTGCCAAAACGTCCAGGATCATAATTTCGAAACTCTAAGCTCCCAGTCAGATTCCACCATTCTCAAATGACTCTTCAAATTTACACTAGATAGATTCTAG